TCTTCTCCCCTGCGACACCGGTTCTTACAATACCAGTAGGTGACTAATAGAATTTCTATTTTTATTTTTTTGAGGAATCTCCATACTGATTTCCATAATGGTTGTACTAGTTTATATTCCCACCAGTATAGAAGGATTCCTGTTTCGCCTCCTACAGATGAGAAAACTAGAGTTCAGTAATGTTGCACAGCAAGCCATAAGTATCATAACCAGGATTGCACACAAGTTTTTCCCCCGCCTTCAAATTCAGTGCTCTTTCTGTATCACAATGTATAGGAGATTTTTCTTTGGAGGATAAGTTAGCTGATGTACCTGACTTTCTCTTCCCATTTTTCTCTCCATTTTAGCTTCACAATACAATCCCTAGTTGTAAAAAAAAAAAAAAGAAAGAAAAGAAAAAAGCCCTAAACTACACTTAACCTTTGTATTTCTATACCCTCTATTTTATTTAATAGCCTTCAGTAATAGGATTTCTGTCTCCAACTTTCCACTGAAACACTCTGTAAAGGTGGTTTCTAAAACACATGGGTATATTTAGCTTGTATTCCTACTGGACCTCACCAGATGGGTTGCACTTTTTTTTTTTCCTTTTTCTATACCAGGGATTAAACCTGGGGCCTTTATACTGAGCTGCATCCTCAGCTTTGATACAGTGTTGTATTAAGTCACTATGTTGCCCAGAATAGGTTTAAACTTAAGCTGTTCCTGCGTCAGCTTCCCAGAATGCTGGGAATACAGATAAGCACCACCATGCCCCTCTTGGTTGTTGCATGACTGAACACCTCTTGGGTAGGAGAAGTCGAGAAGGAATAGAAGGCAGCACCTATCTTGGTGTAGAGTGATGCCTGCTGCCTCCCATACATTTACTGAATGAATAAAGCACTAATGATAGGAAAGAGGCAGATCAAGGAACATTTCTGAAGGCAAATCTCAATTAGGCACACCTACTATCTTCCAGACTCTATAATTTAAACCTTTCTGAAAGATTAAATTTTAGGGGCTGCTTATAGTTTCACTTACACCTATTGATACCTTTTTCATAGCACCATGTAACAGATCTTTACAACACATATTCTAAATCTTTTTAAACGTAATCCTATACTCACCCCTAGTCACAGTTTCTGTTGTCTTAGAGTTTTTAATCCATAAGGACTCACAGTTGTTTTTCCTGCAGAATATTATGTAACCCAGAGAAGTAAAAGAACTGGGCTTTGAGACGGTTATATTGGAACCACTTCTGTAGTTCCTTCTCAAATTGGCTATATGACTTTTCAGTCAATGGAACATTAGCAGGTATAACACAAATAGAGACTGAGTACACAGTTGTATCTGGGGCTTATTCCCTGGAACAAACCTCTTGGAGCCGAGCTATCAAGGAATAATGAAGCTAGGCTGTTTTGCTGAGAAACAGCACACATGGAAAGAAAGACCACTGGAAGGAGGATGCGGCTCCCCAGCTGAGCTCCTTGCCAAATGCGAGCCATATGATTGACCACCATGCGGTCAACATCCTTGGAGCAGAAAGCTCTCTGCCAACCCACAGAGTCTGGAGAATTGATAAACCATTGTAATGTTAAGCCACTCTATGCATGTGTGTATGTGTGGTTTGTGTATTTCATAAAACAATAGAAATCTGAAACACAGGAAGAGAACAGCTTGCCTAGAGGAGACCCAGGAAGGCACATCTTAGACAAGTTCATTTAATTTTTTTTCAGTGACTCCAGCAGTTCTGTTCAACTACACTTACCGTCTCTAGTAAGAGAGCAGGTACACTCTCTCTGTGAGTTATCTCAGCTCTGTCCTCAGAAGCCAGAGAGAAAGACACCATGGCAAGACCTCATACCTGGCAGATTTTAGAGGGGCCCTAATAATTGGCTGTTTTTATCAGACAGAAGTATATGGAAATTGCTTCAGTACAGCAAAATTTTGAGGATTTAGGGTGTTGATCCATTTTGCTAATTAATCATCTTATTAAAACATATATAAATACGTACCCCCCCCCACATCCATATGGAAAAAATATCTTACCATGAAATTAGAACTAATAAAAGTAAGTTATAGCAACCTGAAATGACTTCACTTTTTTACTTTGGGTACATCTTTTATCCCACTGAGACAGGATTTTAATAGTAAAAGTTAGCTACTCTCAGGTAAGATAAAGTAGCTGGGGCCAGGGATATGGCTCAGTGGCTCAGCGCCTGCCTGGCAAGTATGAGGTTGTGAGTTTGATTCCTGGTACTGGGGGGAAAAAAAGATTACTTATACAAAGATACAGCAAACAACACTCAACTTCCAATATTCCCTATCCAGAATTGCCACTTTTATCTCTATCTTTCTTGCCTTGATCTCCCATTTATCCTACTTTCAAACACTATAATATTGGATGACAATTTTAGTTGTTTTGGTTAAAAAACTATTTGGTTGCTATTGCACCTTTGGTTGATTGAGTAAATTAAGCTGTAGGCAAGTGCAAATCACTCAAGGGCACAGCAAGGGAGAAGGTGAGCGACCTAAGAGGTACTCTGATGGGCTATAGAAGGTGGAATTGTTGGAGTGAAATGCTCTTCACTTGCGTTTTCATTTCTATACAATCTCCAGTGCAGTCTCCAGAACTAGTGAATTTATTGTGGAATTAATCTTTTAAAACATGTATTGATGTACTGAGTCCTACATGTGGGTGAAAGCAGAAACTTCCCATGGACACCACCACCTGGGTCCCCTGGGGAATGTCTGTGGTAAGAGCTTGAGTGGTACAATTAGCACAAACTGATCCTCATGCCCGTTCTTAGGAAGAGCTCTCCCATCTCTTGTGAGCAGGCCAAATAGATCTGACTAATGAGAGACCCAATTCCCTGGGAGGGAGGCTAAGGGTAGACAGGATGGAGCCAGTATTGCCTGCCAATCCTGGTAAGCCTGATTTTGTTTGGCAGACAACTCCCAGCCTCAGGTGAGAAATCAAGATTAGTTAAGATAATTATGGAATCCCATTTACCCTTCACAAAAGTTAGTTTAGAGTTATGATCAGGATCTTTCAGTGAGCTGTAAGGAGAGATGTTTGCTGGCTAAATTCCAGGGAACACTTTTCTTTAGCCACAGTATGAGAGATCTGTACTATGAGAAAGATCAGTTCTTTTCCTTCCTGCTTGAATTGTTGTGTAAGGATGCAGTGCTGAGGGCTTTGGCAGCCATCTTGTGACTCTGAGAAGAAAGACAATGGAATCAGTTACTCTTTAACAACCCAAGAATTACCAACCGCCAGACATTTTGTTAAGTGAGTCAAATATACACAATCGTGATGGATAAGTTGCCATGAGACAGGTTTTCTGTTATGTGCAAATGGTACAGAACTCATGTATTTTCCTTTTGTTTGGTCATAGGCTAAATGAAGTTGGATGCTTTGATGTTCTGATTTCCAAATTGTAGCCCAAGGCAGCTGGAGATTTGAGTTAATGCTCTGGGATTGTAAAGGATTTGCTGTTGTTGCTAGGCAACACAGTGGCACAATGACTTCTGGTCCTGAGAGAATTCTCTGTCTCTCTCTCTCTGTCTCTCTCTGTGTCTCTCCCTCCCTCTTCCTCTCTTCCCTCCATCCTTTCCCTCCCTCCACTTCTGTTCCCTGCTCTCTCTCTTTCATCTTAACTTCCCCTCCCCTTCCTCCAGGAACTGCCTCTGCCTGTAGGGGCAGCCCCTAACCCAGAGACGGACTCCCAAGGCTCCTCCTATTTCAGGTGTTCCATTCTGGTTCCTTTCCACCTGGACAGGCTGCACAGATGCAGCGCACCACCTGCAACTACCTTGGCTCACCTCTGGTGGAGCTCTGCTTGTTAGGAGGGCTGATCCCCTTCTCTCCACCAATACCTTTTTCTCCATTCCCCATATGCCAAGCTCTGGCACAAATTCTGACCACAGACTTAGTTAAAGTGTGTGCCATTTAACCTTTGCATTTCTGTTTTATGAAGACAGGTCCTGTTACTGTAGAGACCAGACAAAGTGAAAAAGCCCATGTCTCTTCCTCTGAGAATGCTCCTCTCCTGCCTGCACCCCCAATCTGGTTAGGTTGCCACTGGCTTCCTGTTAATTGCTTGGGTGCTGCGCCTTTGCTGAACCGCAGAACTGGTGACTCCCTTGGTTTTTTTAGGCTATGGCTTAATAGTCTTTTAGGACCCCAGTTCCACTTTGAATTAATGGCCCTTTAGACAAACTGGCAAAAAATGTCTTTAAAAGTTAAAAATAGACAAAATAGAAGAATAAATGCACAGGATTCAAAATAATTCTGACATTTTCAAACTGCTGCAGACTTGATGCATGGTGGGAGGTTAGCATAGCACAGTGGGTTAGAACATGCGTGGGTCTGAGTCACAATGACGTGGATTCAAACCTGCATTTTAAATTGAACAGGTAGCTTGATCTCTTATCTGTTATGTGTGTTAATGCCAGACTATTCTCACTGTGTACATGTTCCATGTGTCCAAACCATGTTTAGAATAACCACAAAAGTGGTAACAGGGGCATTCCCATAAGGTAACACTCCAAAGCATGCTGAGATGGGACCTGTTGGTATTTCAAACTAGAAATCTTAGAACACTAGGGTGACCAACCCAAGGCATTATGAGAGGAACTTATATACTGACGCCCACAGCAAGATAAGAGACGTTCTACCCACATGTGTCTACAACACAGGGGCCCAGTTATGGCATTTATGAGAAGGTTTGAGGAGTTGGGCTCAGGGCCAATCTAGTTTCTTTCAGTGTTTGGGCAACAGCCTAATCAGTGCCAGGAATGTTCAAGGCCCTGACTTTAGTTCAGCTCACAGGAGCAAACCAATTGACTGGGTCACAGAGCAGCCGGAGCACTATGTTTTCAGTCAGAAGAAAGAAAAGAGTGAAGGATGTAAGGGACCCTACACCACAAGATGATGTGTGTATTAACATTCATTAACATTTCCATGGACCAGCACTTTATATACAGAGGTCAATGACAAAACCTCTTATTATCCTCACCTGTTTCATAGATGAAGCACCTGAGCGATGGAGAGGTGAGATAACCTTTCAGCATCATAAGGATGATAAATTGTGGAGCTGGGTTTCAACTCCAGGGTATCTGTCATCAGAAACCCTGTTGTAAACAAAAAGATAAGTGCTACACCTTAGCATCCTTTTCTGGCACATTGGATACGCTCAGGAAAAGTGCCTATCATTATTATTGTTTATAAATGTGTACTGTTTGAATTAGCATTAGATGAATTTGTTTAAAATTCCTTAAACATTTAAAAGAAGGCAAAAATAAGAATGATACTAGCTAGCAGATGCAGTTAACTTTTCAAAAGGGGTAAAATTACTTTTACTTTATATTTCATAATCACATTTATGAGAAGAGCCCCTACTTCACGTGGCTACATATGGCCCGTGTAGGTGTCCTTGTGTAAGTCACCTTCCTGTTGTCTCCTGGTCAGCATGTTTTCCTTTCTTGCTCGGGCCCCCTCCTGTCTTTGATGGAAAGGCCCAGGAAGTAGGCTGCCTCTGTCTGGCTACTCCCCTCAAGGGGTGCCTCCTAGGCCTGCCCCTACTGTCATTTGTAGTGGTCTGGCTAACTTTGTTCATTCCACTATCCAAATTTTTGTTCCAATGTACAATTTTAGTTTGAGATTTTGGTAGCCATGAATAAGTGAGATATGTATGTACTTGTTAGCTGCTTCCCATGTATCAGCCCATTTAATTTTCACGATGATAGAATTATTCATTTTAAACTTTAATATACAATTTTCAATTCTTTATTTAAATAAAAAAGCTAACTAAGTCATAGGCTTTCTTTTAGGTTTTGTGCATGCAAGAAAGTAAAATTAGTCTTTTCCTGGTTTGCACGAAATTTTTTACCTTCCAGAGAACACAGATACATTTAAATTCATTATCTCAACAATCTATTATTCAGATAACCAAGTAAAATTTCAGACTTTAAGAGGTAAGAGTTTACTTTCAGAATCTGGGTGGCTTAGGAGACCCCTTTGTTAGAAAAACCATTTTCCAGGGCAGTTTTGTGATACCAGCACACAGAGGTAAAGATAGATGCCATGAGATACACCGTGTCATTTGTCACAGTTCTTCACACCTCCCCACAGCTGGGATCCACTTAAGTTCTTTTATCCTTGGTCTCAACCATGAGACTGTTTTGGGCCAACAGAATGAAGCAGAAGTCTTGGTAAAGACATGAAGACTTTTAGGACAGATAAGTGGAAGAATCTGAAAGGTAGTAGAGAGTGAGAACTTGGGTTCTAGGAAGCTGAGGGTCCTGGCTACTCAGACCAGGACTGGGATTCCCATTGCCTAGGGTACAATTGTTTTGGCCTTGTATTCAACTTGAGACCAGTTATAGAAAGCCAGATAGGTTCCCTATGCAATCATGGAGGTGCTCCATTTCTAGTTATCTTGCCTCCAGCTTCCTAGCCAACAGCTTCCAATCAGAACACACCTGAAGCTGTCCTGTGTCCACTCTGGTCTTCTGACTTCTCTGCCTGCCTAGGAGTCTCCATGGTGGCTGACTCCTTTGCTATAGGGAGCTCTAAATACTGTTGACTGCTCTCATTTGGATGATCATTTATTTTCATACATTGGGAATAGGTGCTTTGTTTAATAGATTGAAATAGGCAGACTTAAATTATTTTAATTGATAAGAAGACATGCCAGTCTTATCAGTGCATGCTTGCATACATGCATTGAAATACCACACTATACCCCATAAATATATATTATTATTATACATTAATAAAATAATTTTAATTAAAGGTAACAAACTTTTATTGCATACCCATGGGTATAGGTGCTAGGCTATTTCCTATATATTTCTGCTATGATTTTATATGTGCTTATATATCTTGGGATCCACAAACAGCCTCCCAGTGCCCCCAACCTCAAGTCCAAAAATGGGGCAAGACATGTTTTTTAAAAAGCAACACTGATTTATTTTATCCTGGGCCCAGAGACACAGTGCAGTTGGAGTTTGCAAAAGCTGTGTGTCTCCCTCAAAACTTCCCAGACTTTTTGTAGAAAGCACAGTTTACAAAGTAAGGGGTTATGGGCGTGGATCAGGAAATCTGCTAAGGCATAAGGAAGACCTTTGTTTCCCTTTGCAGAGATCAGAGAAGTCTAGCAGGAATTAACAATCCTTTGTCAACTCATTCGGGCACTCAATTTTAGACAACATCTGTTATTTGGAGAGGGCAGCAATGGTTAACATATCAATTGGGTCAGGTTCACAAGGATTTACAATTCTTTACAGAGGGGAGCATTGATTAACATATCAATTAGGTCACCCAGGAAAAAGACACACACAGAACAGTAAGGTGGCATTACAGGTACTTTGATCATATAACTTAGGCATAACACAAACATAATGAAGCTCTTTTTGCTATGTACAGCATATATAGTATATGGTATAAGGTATATGTCTACCTTAATGGTAGTTAATTCACACATATACATACTTCATATAATTTATATAAAACTAAAAGAATATTTCCACAAATATAAATATATAATATTACATATAATTAATGTCAACAATATTTTTTTCTATCTTGTGGTTTTCTTTTGGATTGTTTCCTGTTTCTAATTTAGACTCTGGCTGAAAATTGGGAGGGTAGGACCACAACAGAATAACCAGCCCTGCACGTGCAGATGTTCTTTGAAGTCTGAGGGAATTATAGACATTAGTTTTCTTTTTCTAGCTTTATTTCCTACTACATCACAGTGACAATTAAAAGCAATTGAAGTAGTCCTACTAATAACCTTTAGATTTCTTTTTTTTTTTTTTTTCATTTTTATCGGTACCGGGGATCGAACTCACGACCGCCTGCTTGCAAGGCAGGTGCTTATGCCGCTGAGCTAAACCCCCAGCCCCATAACCTTTAGATTTCAATCACAAGACTTTGGTAGAAACACAATCACAGCAAAACCCCTGGGGCCTTGCTGGCAAATAGGTGGCATAATTACCTCTGTTTCTTTACTGCTGTCTTTGATAGACATCTTAAATCTATCACTACATTCTTTGCTGATCTCCCTGAATGTGGCTTTAGAAACCTGCTAAAAACAGTGCTGAAAGCAGCCATTATCAATCACATTCAGTGGCATTTAGAATGAAATAAATTTGCCATGTCTAATCTATCCTATTGCATATAAAACAAAGGCTGGTGGAAGTCCACTAACTTCATTTCATGGCTCAGTGGAGGGTCAAAATCACAGCTGAACCATATTGCTTCAAGGGACAAAACTAGTCACAAAATGAAGTGGGACTGATTTCAGCACAATATCAAGAACATTTTTTGTTATGGGAAAACTTAGCAACAGGGCAGTGTCGCCCAAGTCGGTCTCGGGTTCTTCTGTTCAGTCAGTGTTCTTTTTGCGACAATGACGGTGAAAACCGAGGCTGCTAGAGGCGCTGTCACTTACTCCAGAATGAGGGGAATGGTAGTGATTTTCATCGCTTTCATGAAGCAAAGGAGGATGGGCCTGAAAAACTTTATTCAGAATATTGCCAGTAACTCCTATGCATGCAAACACCCTGAAGTTCAGTCCATTTTGAAAATCTCCCAACCTCAGGAGCCTGAGTTAATGAATGCCAACTCCTCTCCTCCACCAAGTCCTTCTCAGCAAATCAACCTTGGTCCATCATCCAATGCTCATGCTAAACCATCAGACTTTCACTTCTTGAAAGTGATTGGGAAAGGCAGTTTTGGAAAGGTTTTTCTCACAAGGCACAAAGCAGAAGAAGCATTCTATGCAGTCAAAGTTTTATAGAAGAAAGCAATCTTGAAAAAGAAAGAGGAGAAGCACATCATGTCAGAGCAGAACGTCCTATTGAAGAATGTGAAACACCCTTTCCTGGTGGGCCTCCACTTCTCTTTCCAGACTGCCGACAAACTGTACTTTGTCCTAGACTATATTAATGGTGGAGAGTTGTTCTACTACCTCCAGAGGGAGCGCTGCTTCCTAGAACCAAGGGCTCGCTTCTGTGCTGCTGAAATAGCCAGTGTCTTGGGTTACCTGCACTCTCTGAACATCATGTATAGAGACTTAAAACCAGAGAATATCTTGCTAGATTCCCAGGGGCACATTGTCCTCATTGACTTTGGCTCTGCAGGGGGAACATTGAACATAATGGCACAACATCCACCTTCTGTGGCACACCTGAGTGTCTTGCACCTGAGTTACTTCATAAGCAGCCTTATGATAGGACTGTGGACTTATGGTGCCTGGGAGCTGTCCTGTATGAGATGTTGTATGGTCTGCCTCCTTTTTATAGCCGAAACACAGCTGAGATGTATGACAATATCCTGAACAAACCCCTCCAGTTGAAACCAAATATTACAAATTCTGCGAGGCATCTCCTGGAGGGGCTCCTGCAGGAGGACAGGATCAAGAGGCTGGGAGCCAAGGATGACTTTATGGAGATTAAGAGTCACGTCTTCTTCTCCCTCATTAACTGGGATGATCTCATAAACAAGAAGATTACTCCTCCTTTTAACCCAAATGTGAGTGGACCCAGTGACCTGAGGCACTTTGATCCCGAGTTTACCGAGGAGCCTATCCCCAATTCAATCGGCAGGTCCCCTGACAGCATCCTCATCACAGCCAGTGTAAAGGAAGCGGCCAAGCCATTCCTCAGTTTCTCCTATGCACCTCCCATGGACTCTTTCCTCTGAGCAGTCTTAGGGGTGCTTGTGAAAGACCCTACATGTGTCTGTGAATGTTTTAGTTAGCCTTTGGTAAAGCTTCCAGCTGACTGGACATCTTAAAGAGAATTTACACATCTCTGGCAGCCCTGTTGCACACTGTTTGCTGGAAGCTTTTCAAAGAGCACATCCTTCTCAGTGAGCTCATGAGGTTTTCATTTTTATCCTTCCTCCCAACCTGGTGTTATCTCTGAATTGAGCGTCAGAGCGCTGCCCCTGACAGGTGTGAGACTCTCAGTAGAGGGGAGACGCAGGTCTGAGAAGGGTCTTCCCTAGACCTGTTGGGCTGTGATAACAAATATTCTGAAATGTGCCATTTCTGATGAGATCATGTTAGCTCCAAAGCTTTCCCTATCGCAGAGTGTTTCAGTTCTTTATTTTTCCTTGTGGATTTAGTGTGTGAACAATGGTATGAATGTGGTATGCCTGATCGCAGATGGATTTTGTTATAAACATCAATGTGACACTTGCAGGACACTACAATGTAGGACATTGTTTGTTTCTTCCATATTTGGAAGATAAATTTATGTGTAGACTGTTTATTTTGTAAGATATAGTTATTAACTAAAACTTATTGAAATGGTCTTGCAATGATTTGCATCTAGATGCTTAAAGACAGCATTGCTGCTACAAATATTTCTATTTTTAGAAAGGGTTTTTTAATGGACCAATGCCCCAGATGTCGGTCACAGCCATTGGTGTTTTCATTGTTTAAAATGTCACCTGTTAAATGGGCATTATTTATGTTTTCTTTTTTTTTGCATTCCTGATAACTGTATGTATTGTATAAAGTCTGTACATTGGGTTATAACACTAGTATATTCAAACTTACAAGCTTATTTGTAATGTAAACCACCATTTTAATGTATTGTAATTAACATGGTTATAATATGTACAATCCCTCCTCCCTACCACACAACTTTTTGTGTGTGGTAAGCCAATTCTGGTTTGCAATAAAACCTTGAAAATATTTAAAAAAAAAAAAAAAAGAAAACTTAGCAACAGTATAGATAATTAACTTGTATGGGTCCATTTCTATGCTTCATTCGTTATAGATCATAACTGGTCTCCCTGCCTTCCTCACCTAGGTTATTCTGACACAAATTCCAGCCATGTTATGAGCATTTTGATAACATTCTTAAAAGAAAAGAATTATTTAATCCAGGTGTGGCAGCACATGTCTGTAATCTCAGCACTCTGGAAGACAGAGGGCAAAGGATTGCAAACTTGGGCCTACCCTGGGAAATTTAGAAAGAATCTGTCACAAACAAACAATCACACAACCCCACAATTTAAAAAGGGTTGGAGACATAGCTCAGTGTAAAAGCCCTGGGTTCAATCCCCATTCCCACCTACGAAAAGAAAGAAAGAAAGAGAGAAAGGCAGACAAACAGACAGACAGAAAGACAGAAAGAAAGCAAGAAAGACAGAAAGAAGAAAGGGTTTTAGGAAAACTTAAGCTTAATACTTGTTTTACTTAAAGATACTACTAATAATTTCTTAACATTATCAAACATGCAAGCAATTTTTATATCTTCCCAATTGTTACATTAATGTTTTGGTAATAATTGATTGGGTGATAGATAAAACTTATACATAACTGGTTTATATGCTTCTAGAATATTTATAAGATTCTGAAACTTCCTACACTGGTACACTTGCAGGTTATCTGTTGAATACATCTTGTTTGAAATCTCCCATAATCTAGACTTTGCTGAGCTTCCATAAGGAGGTATATGCTGCCTGGTTTTTGCTCCTTCCTTGTGATTTTAGGAGCCACTGATGTTTCATTGCCCAAAGCCATTAATAAATATAAATATAAATATAAATATAAATATTCATTCTAATTGATAAGTGATTGCCTCAGAAAGAAATGAGAAAAACTGATTTATCAATTCCTCTTAGATTAATCTGTAAAACTGACTACATTTCAAATAATATCTCACCCATTTCAAGGAAATATTCTAGAAAAGTAAATCAAGAAGAAAAGTTGGGGGAGAACACTCAAGAAGATTTCTGACAGTGTTATTAAATTTATTGTAAAGAGGGGCTGGGGATTTAGCTCAGCGGCATAAGCACCTGCCTTGCAAGCAGGCAGTCGTGAGTTCAATCCCTGGTTCCATAAAAAGACAAAAAAAAATTAGGAAAAAAAAATTTATTGTAAAGTTGCAGTGAATAAGTCATCACGAAACTAGGAACAAAAGACTAATATTCATTCCATATTGTTTATAATAGTGGAAAATGGCAGCAGCCTGAACTACCAGGATTGGAGGAGAAGCACACTATGTTATAGTGTCTCAGAGAAGGCATAGCTATAATTTTCACCTTTCAAGTCTGAATAATTTTTACGGATGTATTGATTGTGGTCTCAAGATAGTAAATTAATAGAGACGTAAAATATAGTCTTAATTTTGTAAGATATGGATATATTAAATAGGATACATAGGATCAGATGGGCATATATTATGAAAAGATACTCTTCTGAAAAGTAATACATGTATCGTACTTTGGATATTATGTGAAATAACACTAAAAATCAGCACATTCATTTTAATAGTAAGGGAAAAATAAAGGAAATATCTGTGTCGTGGAATTATTAGCAGTTTACATCTTATTTTTTATATTTCTTGGTAGTTTCTCAATTTTCCTCCATGAAAATATACCACTTAAATAATCAAAAAAAGAATATATTTTCAAAAGTGATGGAATCTGGATAGTTGAGGTATTAACTAAGGAACATAGCTTTTAATTTTACTTTTTGTTTTGTTAAAGATCTACATAGGTTATACTAGATGAAAAGTTGGATGAGTGGGCCCAATTCAAATTTTTTTTTTTAAAAAAATGTTTCTACAGCAGTCAAAACATTAATTGGATCCAAAAGAATTGTGAGCGAGATCTGTGTCTATTTCTACACACCACTTAGTTTTGGGAAATCTATTTTGGTTTTGAAGCCTTTGTTTTGTTTGAATATAGAATGAGAAGGAATAATTTATTTAATTTTTCTAATTTACAAAGATTTCACAAAGCAAATGAAACAATCCAGCATGTAGCAGAACAATATCCTGTGTATCATTGCTTTTTTTTTTTTCCTTATCAGTACTGGGGATCAAACTCAGGACCACCTGCTTGCAAGGCAGGTGCTTATGCCACTGAGCTAAATCCCCAGCCCCTGTATCATTGCTTTTAAAAGCAGTACCCGTGGTGTTTGTTTAGTCTTTTTCCATAACCAGAGCATACCAGTGCTGTCGCTAGGCCAAAATACAACCTCCAACCTTTCTCCTGCTCTCAGATTCCCTGGGCAGGTCCTCCTCTCACCTTTCAGAACTACATTGTATTCCATTTTGCTTTCCAATGCCTAGGGTACATCTCAAGTTCCCAGAATTACATTATATTCCCCTAGTCCCATCTGGGCAAAAGCTATGTCTAGTTCTGCATTTAATTGATTATAAAAAGCTGTTAGTATCCATTCAATGTTAAAAGAGCCCAGTACATCTGCTTTGTTTCTTATGTGTGTTCAGACTTGATTTGAAATAATTTGAGCCTAGGTTAGGGATCTTCCCTGGAACACTGTGGACTTTTTTGGGAATTGTCTAGACTATCTCTGCATAAAACAATTAAAGGACCATGGGCAACACAGACTTGAGAAGCTAGTGGAAAGGGGTAGCTGACATGTTTGAGTGAGGTGGAGCCTGGGGTAAAAGACTTGGACTCTACAATAAACTCTGCTGCCACTAATGTTGGCTGACTCCAAGTCTCTCCAGCTTGATTGATGACTGGTTTCCTTAAGGTTCCTTTGGGAACTATAATCTGTGTTAAACATGTGATTTCAGTTAATCACCTAGCATTCACATCTATCATTTATTGGGTCTTGGAGAAATTATTTTTATGCCACTGACTTTTCATCTGTGTTATAAAGATAATAATATTTGTATCATGAAGATTATTGTAAGGATTAAGGGAGATGAAGTATGCAAAGTATACATGGCCTTGTCTAGGGTAGTAAAAATAAAAGTTAAGATGGTTGCATGTATTACTCAGCTTTTTGATTACTGGAACAAAAAATACCTGATATCCACACCCTGAAAGAGAAGTTGAATTTTATTCACAGCGTCAAAGATTTTTAGTCTATGGTTGGCTAACTTCAAGAAGAGCATGGTGGAATAGTAGGCAGAGCTAGAGGAAAAGTACCAGCAAGAGATGTGCCCTTCAAAGCCACACCTACCTGCAGCCCAGCTCCAGCTGGGCCACCTCCTAACAGGACATTTAGCTATGAGTATCACTCCGATGATCTCATCATCTATCTAGGAGTCTCAATCCAATGAAGTTAACAACTTAGCCTGTCCCAGTGCAGTTTGGTCAACATCTTGTAAAATTTTCTGTGTGAGACTCAGAGATCAAATTTGGTAACATGTGGTTTGCCTTAGAGATATAGGTCCTACAATCTACAATTTTCAGATAAAGACTGCTGTTTCAGAAAAATGTGCTTTACAAGAATCCAGGTTGTGACAGTTTCCAGCCCTGGAACTTCTGCTGCCTCGCTGATGGGTTCAAAGAATTTACTTCTTACTGTTCCTGTTACTCACTCATGATATCCTTAGCAAGCAGTCATGTATAAATGCAATCCAGCACCTGCCTAAATTTGTTCAAAAGAAGTTATATAAATAATAGGGTCAACAAAAAATTATTCAGAATGTCACTCTATCTCGTCCCATTAGTTCCCTCTTTATCTTTAAAAACCAATCTTCCTTACCTTTGAGGGGGTACTCGTATGATGTCTAAAGTAAACTCAGTTAATGTTTTTCATGCAGACTGGTTGACCCTGTGTGAATGAAGAGACAGGATAGGCAAGAATACTTTAAGAATCTACTGGATACTATAAACAAAGAAATCATAAATAAGGTTAAAATAAAACAAAGATCATTTTCATATAGATACAAAATAGATTTGCAAATCAGGAGATACATGTTCAGTTAGAAACCAATATTCTACCCCAAAGTTGGATCTCCTCTTACAACCTAACCTCACTGACTCTACTTCTCAAGCATACTGCTTCCAAAAAGCATCACAATGGTGACTGGGGCTTCAACATGTCAATTAGAGGGGAGCACAAACTCAGTCCATAGCACTCTATCCTCCTGTGTTCTGGAAAACAGTTTTCTCCAAAACCTACTCTTTTTCCTAGCCTTAGAGAAGACTAATGGATGCCCCTTGCTTGCTTAGGATAAAGTTGGACACAGACCTTCCCTCTTTTAATTCTTAAAAATGATTAGCTGAACTGTTTCATCAACAATGATCAATGGGATGAAATGCTTGTGATATAAACTTTGGTGAAACTTCTTCCTCTACGTCCCTGGCCTTTGGTCCACCCTCAGCCTGAGACAGCAGGTGGACTCACCTGAAAATAGGCCAACCTTCCAACAGCACAGCTAGTGTCTTCACCGCTGCAGTGCGGGCTTTCTGGGTACATCACACCACAGTTGATGACATCATGGTGAGAACACATGAGAGAGGAAGAGACCACATAGTGAGACAGGAAATAAGAGACTTTGAAGGGCCAGGCTCACTTTTATAACAACTCACTCTCATGAAATTGATCCAGTTCTATGAAACCTGACCCACTCCCAGGAGACAGCATTAATCCCCTTTGAGGGTAGACTCCTTACCTCGTTTTAGGTCCACCTCTTCCCATTTCCACTATCTCAGCACCTCCACACTGGGGCCAAACTTCTAGCTCAAAAACCTGTGGAGGATGAACCATGTACAAAGTATAACAATGAAATCACCCATGCCTCATTGGCAGGAAAACCAAGTAAAGATACAAGAATAAGAAATACCTTCCTGGGAGCTTTCTTTTTCACAGGGTTTTCCCGGAGTGAGGATTTATGCCAGGGCCTGCTAGTTCATGAATGAACAAGGAAAGAATAATAAAAAAGAGTTTAAAAATTGTGATGAAATTAACATAGCCAAATAAATGAATGCTGTGGTGGCTAATTTTATATGTTAACTGGGCTGTGCGTGGGGTGCCTAGATATTTGGTCAATTCTAGGATGTTTCTGGATGAGATTACATTGAAATTGGTGGGTTGTGTAAGCCAGATTGCTTTCCTCAAGGCTCGCTCCATCATTGGAGACTTGAATAAAACAAAGGGGATGGAATAAATAATTCTCTCTTGCCTGACTGTCTACAAGAGAGTCACTGGCCTTTTGCAACCAGATTCACATTTAGGCTGGAGTTTATATTGTCTCTCTCCTGGTCCTTAGTCCTTTGGAATTGAACTGCAACTATGCCATAGACATTATGGATCTTCAGTTTGCTAACTACTGGTCAGGAAACGTTACCTTCCATCACTATGCAAGTCAATTCTTTATAATCTTAGTTCCTCTTTATATATTTACACCAAATCTATAAGTCCTATTGAGTCTGTTTTGGTGGAAAGCCCAGGCTATTATACATGGGTAGGTGGGCCCTCTTGCATTTTTTTTTGCCTGTCCTCAGGAAATGTGTTCCTGAAGCTGACACTCTCTGAGTGAGAAGACACTCCCTGAGCCCTTGCAAAGTGTAGGGGGTATAGTGATATACACATAATTGATGGAGGCTCTTGTATGTAATGTTGGCTCAGAACTTAGGATTTTAGTTCCTGCCCACCCCACTGGCAACAAAGGTAAAGGAAGAGAGAGCTGGGTTGTCCCATAATCCTCTGATGCAATTGTTCTCTAAATATCAGTGGAGGGTTCTAAAACTCTTCTTCTTCCCTCCCATTTTGGGTTTTGTTGATCTGATTGGTTCTGGAAGCCACCTCTATGATAATACGACTTTACATTTACTTGTGTGTGTGGTACTTTCGAGATAACAGTGTCAAGAGTCCTAACCTGCTGTCACTTAAAAAAAAGCTAGACACTGAATGGAGAAAAAAGGAGATTCCCAGTCCAGGTGAGGAATGACCTATCAAGTCACTGTCCCCTCACACCGTGCAAACTCAGATATTCTCATATATTGCTTAATTGTCATGCTTCATAATTCAGTGCCTGAAAACCTTTGGAAGGAGAGCAGTACTGATAATGGTATCCAGAAAGGGGAGTATCACAGAAGCCAGCTCCATCAGTAAAGGCCTGTGTGACCTTGGGCAAAGTACAAAACCTTTCTGGAAACTTTACAGCTGAAGCATCATCCCAGGTATCTGTCCTATTTCTGCTTCCCTATTAGAGGCCACCATATTTTCATTGCTGGCAGAGAAAGGATGGAACCAATGGCCTCATCTCAGCCAGCAGCACAAGCCTATTAATAGAGTCCCTGGCTGCTCTAGCTTCCGCTTTGGGAGCCCCCAGGTGCCTCCCTGCTGCTCTCCAGAGCAGAAGTAGCAAAGGCTGACTTCTTTCACTTCCACCTCCCGATCTCAGCGTCCCGCAAGAATGGTGGGCAGTAGGGCAGAAAGGAGAGGCGCCCAGGGTGAAGGGCCCTGGAGAAAACGCTCTGGGGAGGAGGATGGGCACGCCAGAGTGAGGGGCAGCTGAGAGCAGCTCCTTCAGAGAAGCACAGCCTGCAAGAGCAATGACATTAGCTTTAAGAAGAGTAATTGAGAAGAAAACAATCTTCCGCCCTCCTAAATCTTCCATCCTCTCCGGGAACTGAAGTGGCCCAGATGTTTCAGGAAGAAAGGAGCAAGGGCACAAAGTAGAGGAAAAAAGTATCCCTCCCTTAAAGCCACGCCCCTTCCCCCCCAGCCTCTATTGGGACCACCTCGGCAATCCAGCGTCCACCTCCACTCCGGACTCTTGGACAGTCACCGACACCTCCCAGGTCGCTCTGGGTGCACGTGCGGTGGGCGTCACCCTGCCTGCATCCTTCTCCTCCCCCGCCGAGGAGGGCAGCAGCTGGCGAGGTCACAGGTGGAGCTGGCGGCTGGTGTGCCCGGCGCCTGGAGGGAGTGAGCCTTCGGGAGGCCAGGGGTGTGGGTCCCGGGGGAAGCCGGGCCGGCCCCCTGAGATGGGCTCCGTCTCCTCCGCGCTGGCGCGGTCCCGCAGCACGGTGGTGCAGCTGGGCTGCTCCTCGCCTCAGCCCGAGGCGCCGCTGGCCGCTCCCGCGGCTCCCAGAGACCCACTCGTGCTCCCCCGAACTCCGAAGCCGGGGCTCGGGCGCGGAGAGGCCCCCAGTCCTCCCGCTGCCTGCGGGGAGCCCCTCGCCGCGCCGCGCCCAAGGCTGGAGCGCGCGGAGACCTCCCCGGCGCCGGCGCGCGCGGAGACCCGGGCCCAGCCCCAGCACCCCCGAGCCGGCGGCCCCGACGGTGAGTGTCCGAGTGGGGGCGCGCTCTCCTGAGGACCTCTGCGGGGCCTGATGTTCGGGGGACGAGGGAAGGCGCTCTCTCAACAGGATTTCGCTTTTCTTTTTTCCCTTGCTGATAACTTCTTTTACAAGTTAAGGTTCAGTTCTGGTTCAGCAGGGGCTGTTTCCCAGGGACTGTTTTTCACAGGGCTTTACGCGTAGCTGGAGATGCAGCTCATACCCCGCGGCCCCCTTTCCCTTTGTGTCTGTAGCAGCCCCATGGAGAGGTCGTTCTTGTGGTCAAGGATAGACGTGGACAAGAAGCATTCCTTCCAGTTCCTTCTCCGGGAATTAGGAAAAGGGCAGAACTGCTGTGGGTCCAGGTCTTAGTTTCATGTGTGAAGAAGGAAACCAGCATTTGGATCAGTATCTTCTGACAGGACTGGAAATGGGCCCAGTGTGTGTGTGTGTGTGTGTGTGTGTGTGTGTGTGTGTGTGTACACACTAGTGTGCATGTGTTTTAGGGTAGGCAATGTGGGAGAAATAAATAGCCACACAAGACTTGAAATCAGAGGTGAAGCTGAATCCTCACCTGCAGCTTTCCTTGTGATCTGGGGCCAGACACCCTCCTTGTGCTTCAGTGCTTCCATGGGTGGCACACGGGTGGTAATGACACTTATCTTAGCAGGTAGCTGGGAAATACGCCCAGACATCACACATGTGAAAGTACTTTGTAAAGTACTTTGCATGCCACACAAATGTTCAGTATTATGCTACAACTAGATGTTTTCACCTTATCAGCTAAGGGTATAGTGAACCCTATATTAAAATTTTTAGTTTAAGATGTTCAAAAGCTGTGTTTGATCAGGTAAAGTTTTGTTTTGTGCAAATGAGAGTAAAATTCCTTAGGAATAATTTTTTGAAAATAAGTCAACACACTGGAAATGTTAAATACATCTTCTGGCTTTCGGTCTAATACACGAATCCATACTTTATCCCAAACAAGATAGTGTGTTGCTCACTAGAATTGTTTACTGTTTTCAAGGATTCAGTAGACTAAGTGGGCAGCCTTGGTCCCAGTTAAGAACAAAATGATGAGTTAGTGAAGAGGGGGGTTTGTTTACATTTTGACTCATTGAGAGGTGAAGACATATGTATGCTTATTCTGTTGAGAATTTTCTTATTAAATGGTCACTTTCTCCATTAGCTTTCATTTGCTCTTGTTTTACTCAAATGGACATTTTTTCTGTTAAAAGACAGTACATATAGATGGCCCTGATAAGGGAGGACTTGTCAGTCCAAAATGTGTTTTTGTGAATTAGGATTTTCCACCCAGACAGCATACCTTTGTGATATTTATTGCAAACTAGAATAGGTATCAGGATACTTGGATACTATAGTGTCTTTGGGAAGGCTACTTAATATTTGCTAAACTTGCACAATCTTCTCTTTTAAAATAGATACAAATATAATGGCATCATCTCTTCTGTCATAAGCTTAAAGGAAATTATGGAGGTAGAAGAGGTCGGCAAAGAATAAATATTGAATAAGAGTAAGACATCATTAAAGTATCCAGAGGCTTAATATTTTCTAATATGGAGATACACATTTAGTTTTTATACAAATGCAATATTTATTATAGTTATATATAATCAAATTTGGGATTACTTTGTGAAACTTTTCAATAATTTTGTGTGTGTGTGATATCAGTTGAATTACAAACAGGATCCATTAGTAATATTACCAAGTTTTTCTTCTTGTACTTTTGTTGGTATGGGCAGAAGATTTGGTTATTGCTCATATTTATAATGTCCTAAAATCAATTTCTAGGAATTTGCATTGAATAAAGTTCTGTTCTGGATTTAATGAATGTGCCTTGTAAATACTTTAAATTTTTCAATTGGACAGATTTTAAGATTTTCTAATCCTTCCCTTTTTATTTTATAAGAATGTTTTTAATTGAAATTATATTCCAGGTTTTATATCACTTAGGATACTTATTCAAAGTTATTAGATTTCTGTATTTCACGCTTTTATAAAAGTGGTATTTGAGCTTAGATTTTGCAGAGTTGTGAGTTTAGATAGCTGGAATCACAGACAAAACACATTTTTGTCATCTGCAAAAATGGAGATGAGGTGTATCTGTGAAGCAAAGTGGTATTTTGCTAGACTAGATTGAATTTTTCTAGAAATTTGTGATATTGACTAGTGTACTACAGAATTTAAGAATCTTGGGAGCAAATTAGCTAGGTTTGCTAAAACTTTTATTTTATAACCAAACTAAACAGGATATAAAATTGCATGCCTGACACTGTTCTGTAAGATTGTTTGATAGATACATTCATAATCATTTTATAGGTGAAGACGTTAAGACATAAAGGGGCAATTATCTAGTCACACAGTCAGCAAATGACAAAGAATTTGAACTCTATTAGTGTGGCTTTGGAACTATGTGTGTTTATCTACTGTATGCTGCTTGCCTTAGATTCCATAATATCCTTTGACAGCTTTATCTTGTCTCAGGTATACCAAAGGAATCAATAAACCGTGCTGTGACACCAATGGAAGGTGCTGGCAGGAGGGATCAGAGTATAAAGGAAGGGTCACAGTGTCCCTTACTGTGCTGGTGATTGAAGCCAAAGAGCTCAAGGGGAAAGTCATACTTGGGGTGTACAGTCACCTGTCTCTCCCCATGCAAATTTAAATTCTTGGGGACTCTGAGATTTGATTTGTTTCAGATATGGATGGTTCCCTCCGCTTTTCTCATCTTGTGAAGATTCAATGAGATAAAATGTTGACATATAAGTAGGAAATTGGCATACACTAAATGTAAGCATTTTGTATCTTTGTCCATTTGCTTTCAGACATTTGGGGTCTAACTGGTGAAAAGGCAGGAACTCAATCCACTTTTATTGAAAAGCTTCCTCAGAATAAACAAATACCAAAATAAACAAAAAATCCACAGGTGTTTGTCTATTCCATAATAATCTGTAGTTGATTATCAAGAGCTTCTACCTTTTGTTAAAAACTCTTCTAGATGGACATAGACTTTGACATTATTAATTAAGTGACTTTTTAGTTTGTATAATAACATTTGGAGGCTCTTCCCAGGGATTTTTCACTGAGCTTATGTACTGGCCCTTCGAAAAATGTTTTAAAATTTTGAGATAGGATCTTGCTCAGTAACTAAGTTGCCCAAGTTGGGCTAAAACTTTCAATATTTCTGCCTCAGCCTCCCAGGGTGCTGAGGTTATAGTCATATGCCACCACACGTAGTTTGTCCTGCTGTTTTAACATTTGAAAAAGATGGATCCTGTAAGGACTGATTTTAAAGTGAATCAGTATTTGTCAAATGGCATTCTCAAAACATTGTCTGGCAGAATTTCTTTCTGCTTATGGATTTCCACTTAAAATCTGATTCTGATGAAGTTCCCACTAGCTGCTGCTAGCAGGGCCCTCTCGGATGTTAAAATTCTTGGTTTCTAAACATTGATGCTGGTTAGAATCACTGGCAAGGTAATTCCAGAAGCCCAGGCTGGTTGTTCTGGAACAAGGCTGTGGTCTTAGCACTTTAACCAACTTTATTAGCTAATTCTGTGACCAATAAAGTGTGTATTACAGTCACTTGGAGGCTTGCTAAAGCTTATGACCTGGGTCCTCCCAACTTTGCGACCAGTAAGTCACACAAGCAACTTAAGAATTTGTATTTGTGACAAGTCCCAGGTGTCTGAAAACCAGGGACCTATCATAGAAGTCACCCAAGAGGACCACTAGAAACCAGCTGTGCAGTGTCAGTCATTCTGGGTTCTGGTTTGGGATCTGGGCAGATGCTGTGGTGGACAGATTCTAGATTTAGGTAGCTTTCACTTACTGGTCTTTCTCCTTTACCTCCCCAGGCCCTTAGCTTGCCAATTTGTAAGACATTAGGATAATTATGATCCTTCACCAGTGACACTTTTAACTTGGGATCAAATTTTTTGGGTAACTGTTAGCTGAATTGAAAGGACTGAGTGATGTAAAAATAAAATAAAACCCTTGTCATTTTAAAGATCAGTGGGTGGATGGGTGAGGTGGTGACATTGTCAGTGATTTAAGTTTCAACATTCATAGCATCTCCTAATGTAGGTCCCAGTTCTGATTTAATTTAAACAGATGCGAGCAGCCTTGCAAAGTTTTGATTAGTGACAGGCAGCACTGTTGAGAACAGATCTGTGGTGGCCGCACGGATGTAGCCTTACCTCTGGAACTGTCTTCCCCCTAGGGAGGCATGTTGAGGTCCCAGAGTCCTGTCATGACTGAGAAGTCTCTCTAGGCACCATTTTTCTTTGATTCTGTCTCCTGAGAGTGGCTGGATTCATTTCTTCCAAGGTCAGTTTCAGCTTAGGGCAGAATACAGTGACCTTCTGCTTTGAGCCACCAGTGGTGTGCTTACTGCTGCTAGTCGGAAGACTTGGGAAATGAATGCTTTCCCCGCACACACAGCTCAGAAGGCCCCTGTGGATCCTTGTCATCTGAGCTTCAGGACAATTTTCTAAGGCAGATGGGACACGTGGCCTTATCCTTCCTATATAATAAACAAAGAGGACATAAATAAACTTTATTGTTGATAACAAGTTCCGTTCCAGATTACTTGCAATTTTAGATTTTCAGAGTGTGTGGTATTCATTCTTCCAGACAGTGTGGCATTAGAAAAAGAGGCTCTGGAATCTTTATCTGGAATTTTGGAGGTTCTGAGACTTTCCAGCTTTGTGAACTAATTTCTGTGAGCCCATTTTCTTATCTGGGAAATTAAAATGGTGCTGAGTTTAAAGAATATAATCTATGGAGTTGCTTAGCACATCCTGAGAAACTATTATAAGCGTTAGGACTTTGATAAATGATTAGATGAATAGGTAAATGTCACCTGGAACTGTAATCCCACCAGCAATGGACTGACTGAGGTAGGACACAAATCTATTGGTTAATCTCATTCTCTTTCCATAATGCCAATGAAGTGGAAGTTAAACAGTGAAACCAGGGTGG